ACACACACACACACACACACACACACACACACACACACACACACACACGTGCATATACATGCATGCAAATAAAAACATTCTTTAAAAATATCTTCAGGTATTTCCAGGCATGTATCCTCTGGGGTTAACACAATTGGTATGCGTCAGAATAATGAGATTAATTGTTCTCAAGTCACAAAACAGTCATCCCTTTCTTTATGTGCAACTTATTGTGTTGAAAAACTGAGAGTCAGCTTGGTTTCTGATTCAAGTCAGCATTTTGCATATACAGAGATAAGGCAGACAATACAGTGAGAATCATGTCACAGGGCCATACATAATTGTCACGCAAAGATGAGCATTTAAGGAAGCAGTGTTGGTGCTACTGATGTTATGTTTGTTGGCCTTTGAGACATGAATTATCGGGCGTTTAGCTTCTTGCTAGGTGAGCAAAGGTAGTTTTAAAGAGCCCTCCTATGAGGCGACACATGTGACCGATGGGTCTGGGCCCAGAGCACTCATCTTTAGAACTCTGTCAATCATTCTGCAGCAAGCTGGGAGTTCTGGTGGGCCAAGTGCTCGAGGTTCTGTGGACTCTAAGATGCAAGGCACAGAGGTCCCCTTCCCTCTAGGTGACAGAGAGCTGCCCTGAACAGTCTGAGAGGAGCTGTGGTAAAGAACTGAGGTGTGTAGGATGTCCAGGAGAGGGGGTCTGCTCATCGGTGCTAATCCAGTTCAAGGCCCTGCAAGACAAATGGAGGCCCAGCTAAGTGACTGGCTTCTGCACACATGAGTGTCCACAAGCTGCTTCTTTGGCAGGTGCAGAGAGTGGAGTAGGAGTCCTGAGTGAGGGGCAAGGGTGGAGAAGGCCGCAGGAAAGCTCCAACTCTGAACTGCAGGCTCTACCACTGAGATGCCGTCCACCTTCTGACCCTTGTCCTGCAGACCGTTGATAAGTGTTCTGTGATCTGGGTGATCAGTGATGTAGAGCGAGTTTCCGGAGGAAAGGCCCACGAGGACCTTCTGAACGAGAGCATCAAAGCCTGCCAGCGTGGCTTCTGCAGGGACATTGCCCTGGTGGTCACCAAGACCGACAAACTCCACTTGCGGGAGTATCTCAGGTATTGTGCTGAGCTGGCAAGGCTGTGGCTCATCCTGCCCTGGACTTTCTTTCCTGGGTCCTGGCTGTGAAAATGACAACATAACTTCACCTCAGGCTTCACCAAGTGACTCTTGGGGATGAAAGAGAAGTCTGTGTGACTTGTGGCGATGTCAAGATGTCTGGGTGGGTTTGCTCAAAAGTCTCAGCCATGTGACACTCCTAGGGCAGTTGTTGTGTGCTAAACCACTGTCCTCTACAGAAACTCTGAGGTACCACTTGGTGTAGGTGGGTCTTCTGTCTATATGTTACTTTCATTGGTTAATAAAGAAACTGCCTTGGCTTTTGATAGGACAGCAGCTTAGATAGGTGGAGTAGACAGAACAGAATGCTGGGAGAAAGAAGCAGAGTCAGGCAGATGCCATGATTCTCTGACCTGAGACCGATGTAGGTTAGGATCTTTCCCGGTAAGCCACCACCTCGTGGTGCTACACAGATTATTAGAAATGGGTTAATCAAGATGTGAGACTTAGCCAATAAGAGGCTAGAACTAATGGGCCAGGCAGTGTTTAAAAGAATACAGTTTCCGTGTAATTATTTCGGGTAAAGCTATCCGGGCAGGCGGTGGGAAGCGGCCCGCTGTTCCTTTTACAACCACTCACATGCACGATATAGAAAGAGTGTTCCTGCCCCCAGGAACATGGAAATGTCCGTTTCCCGTTACTCAGAGGAACATACCATATCCAGTTTGCTGCAACTTTCAAGTGTCAGGTTTTGCTTCAGTATTGTTTACTTAAGGTTTTTTTTTTAAGTTTTTTTTTTAACTTAAAACTTAAGAATTTGGCCCAAAGGTTTTAGAGTACCAATCTATGACTAGGAATGAAAGATCTGTATTAGAGATACTAGGTTGGAGAGCTTGGTGGAAATTAATAGACGACTTTGTTTCCATGTGACTCTGTTCCCCAGTTACTAGGAAGAGGTGGGACTTCCCTTTCACCTTGGGATACCGTTGAGTGAAAAATGAACCAGCAGAACAAATACATACAGACTGTGTTGAGCACACAGTATGAGGTCACAAGATACAATGTCAATGTCACTGGGTCGTTGGTAATTCTCTGCAGTCTCTGGAACTTTTCACATGTCTTCTCCACATTCCTCCCAGGGTCACCAAAACTCAAGCCTGGCTGTTTTTCTCTAAAATTTTTCCTCTTATGGTCTAGGTCAGAATTCTAGCTTCATTCCTCACCCTTACAATTTGTCCTGCCCTGCTCCCCACCACAGAACATCTGAAGCTCACTTTTTCCAGGACCAACATTGAAACTGGGCATCATTAAATCTGCTGGGCACTGAGGATTGTCCCATTTCTAAGACCACTGTCTAAAAGAGGGACAAGCCCAGTACCACGGGAACTCAGACTGAGAGGGCCACCCTCTGCCTCAGAAAGGGAGTGCGTTTACAGGACATTGCTTAGCACTGGGAAATAAAGGCCCTCTTTCCAAGATACTGGAAGAGGAGGGGTGGGAGTGGAAGGAGGGTTGAGTCAAAAAAGAGCTTGAAAAGAGTTTGTACAAAGACAGGGCATGTCTGTTTGTCTGTGCTGCTTTCTGGCAAAGTTGGAAATTTCGAGAATACAAAATAAAAGTTTAGTCATTGTGACTTTTTTTCTTATTTCATTTCAGGGAAAGAAAGATGGAAAATGTAAGTATGGACCAGTCATTTAAAAACATTTATTTTTGTTATTAATTATGTGTGTGTGTATATGTGTGTGTGTGTGTGTGTGTGTGTGTGAGAGAGAGAGAGAGAGAGAGAGAGAATGTGTGTGTTGTATGAGTGTGTATGAATGTGTGCAAGTGTGCATGCATGTGCTATGTAAGAGAAGATGCCTGTGGAGGCTGGAAGAGAGATTGATCCCAGGATCTGGAATTACAGGCAGTTGTGGTTCACAGAAATAGATGCTAGGAACCACACTCAGGTCATCCGAAAGAACAGCAGGTGCTCTCCAGCACTGAGACATCTATCTCTTCAGCATCTGGACCAGTGATTTTGTTGATACTATTTTGTTTTTGAGACAGGATTTTTCTGTGTAGCACTGGCTGTGCAAGAACTCAGTCTGTAGAAAAGGCTGGTCTTGAACTCACAGAGATTCGCCTGCCTCTGCCTCCTGAGTGCTGGGATTAAAGGTGTGCGCCACCACCGCCCCAGCCTGGACCAATAGTGTTTTTTAAATAATGCCTTTGTGATTGGTAGTACATTATCCTCATATGTGAATACCTGAGTTTCTGGGCCAAATGAAGACAGCTAAAATAACAAGCACTGATTACCTCACCACTGCCCCATAACCCTAGCCTCTGGCTGCTATATATATATTTTTTCTTAATCCAGCAAGCTATTCAAGATCAGAGAGAGGCTGTTTTGCAAAGAAATGAAATAATCAAACTACAAAGGACTAGAATTCTCAAGGAGAAATTGAAGGTGAGTTTGCGGTTTTGCTGTATTTTTCTGCTTCTCTGTCCTCAGATACTGAGAAACAGATGTTCATTTGGTCCTCTGTGGTAACAAGATTAAAAGCTTTGGAGTAGACAAGTTAGACAAAAGTAAGTCCTGCTGCTTGATACCTCTGTGACCTTAGGCATGTTATAGTACCTCTTTGTGCCTCTACTTTCCTGTCTATAAAATGGGGAGCTAGTGCTGTGTCCCTCATGATTATTGGGATGAGTAAACGAAGAGAGATATTGTCTCCCGGGAAAATCAGCCAAGTATAGTGTGTGGATGTTTCCCAGGGAACCAGCTCTATGGGAACAAGTTTCCAAGTCCTATCGGCAGTAGGAAGAGGTGATGCTAGAGAAAGGTTTGGGGAAAATTCCCAGATTCTTGGGAATAACTGAAAAATAAAATACCCAGTAGTCTTAGGCTGGGAAGATATGGCTCAGTCGTCAAACACAGTTCTGCAAGCTTGAGGAGGAGACTGAGTTTGGCTCCCTGACATCCATATCAAAGTTGCTATGGCTGCAGACGGCGCTAGTGTGGGCCAAACAGGCAGCTCTCAGGGGCTTGCTGGTCAGCTAGTCTAGGTGAGACAGTAATCTCCAGGTTCAGTGAGAGACCCTGCCTTAAAAAACAGGTGGAGAGCAATAGAGAAGAAAGTCCATGGTAACCTCCAGCCTCAATATACATATGCACTGTATGTATGTATGTATGGAGGGATAGCATACCTCCCATATATGTGTATATACCACACACACACAAGAGAGAGAGAGAGAGAGAGAGCGAGAGAGAGAGAGAGCGCTAGCTCAATAGTCTTTAGGACAGGGGTCCACGGAGTAGAGGCAAGAACACAATAGTAACAGGTGGCCATGTTTGACAAATTATGCAGTAAAGCTGGAGGCATGATAATTATCATATGGGAAACATAATTATTTTTACTACTTTATCAATAAAATAGTGAAGCATAAACTTATCCCAGTAGTCTCATATAACTGTAAAACGGAAATTTATTTGAAGATGGCATCTGACCACTGCGGTACAAGTGATGGGCCAGAGGATGTAGACCGCCATAGGTGTCATGGGTTCACCCAAATGACATCTTCAGTTTCACTGTCAACGGCAACACTTGGCTCCTGTCCAGTTTAGTCAATAGCTTTGTGTGTCTTGACTTCCACAGCACAAAAGCAGAAAATGCATGTTGTGCCATGTAGAACCAGAGATGCCAAAGCTTATGTTACCAGCTCTGGATGAGCAGGCCTCCTGCATGAGCTGAAGTCTTCCACTGAACAACTGGATGCCAGTTTCCATGAGCCGATAAGTAGGCAAAGCTGTTCTTAATCTCTTGCACTGTTCCTGCTGGCAGGAAAGAAACATGCATTTTATGAGGTCCTAGTCAGATTATCTCGGGAAGTGGAAAGGCATAGTACTTCGCTGCTCAATTCACAGCTATGTTTATTGCTAACAAATGTGGCAAATTGATTTGCATGCATTGGGATCTGGGCAGCAGTGTGCCAGTGTACAGGGTTGCTGTGGTCCTTGGTGTTGAGTGCAAGTTCTTTTGCGTCTGCAATCCACGGAGATCCCCACTGATGGCAAAGTGATGGACTAGTTCTCCAACCACTTTGAACCCTCATTTGTAAAACCTACATTTGTACTAGATGCCTTTGGGGCAGATTTCATTTTACTCCTTGAAAATATGAGGCTGAAGTTGAATAATAGGCAGTCATTTTTATAGCTACAGGCCAATAACTTTTAAGTTAGAGAAATCAGAATTAGAAAAAAAAGTTAGGCAAAGTCTCCAGAGAAGATAGGATGCAGGGCTTAGCAATGAGTGTTGGGAGAGAGTGAGAGAAGTGAGAAGGGGCTGGGGAGAAGAGGGTTGGGAAAGAAGAACATACGACTTTTTCAACATGGCAGAAGTTTTAAGGACAAAAAAATTGCTAGGGACAGGTTAGAAGGTTGCCTTGAGCGTTCTACAGTGGAGAGATTGTGAGAGAGACAGGACTGTGGTGTATCCACCAGCTCTTGTTCAAACTGGGCTGCTGAGAAAAGAGGAGGGATTCTTTCTCTTCCTCTCTCTCTCTCTCTCTCTCTCTCTCTCTCTCTCTCTCACACACACACACACACACACACACACACACACTATTGTGCACACACCTCCCTCCTGTTTAAAGTAGCACACTCCTGGAATGCTAGAGGGAAAGGGGAGAATGGGTACTTTGTAAGATGTTCAGTTTCTTTCTTCCTCCCTCTAACCCTTCTGAGACTTAAGAGAAAATGTAAACAGAGACCGCGCCTTCCTTTCCCTGCCACCCAGACCTGAATAATCACACAGAAACTATATTAATTATAACACTGTTGGGCCAATGGCTAAGGCATATTCCTAGCTAGCTCTTAACATCTTAAATTAATCCATTTTTATTAAACTATGTATCACTACCAGGCTGTGGTTTACCTATAATGTTCTGGCATCTTTCTCCTTTGGTGGCTACATGGCATCTCTTTGACTCCACCTACTCTCTCTATATCTCTGTGATCAGATTTCCTGCCTGACTTAACTCTGCTAAGCCATTGACTGAAATAGCTTTAGTCATCAGCCAATAAAAGCAGCACATATACAGAAGGACATCCCATATCAAATAAAGCTGTTATGAACATATTTGAGCAAGTATCCTTGTGGTATAATTGAGGATCCTTTGGGTATATGCCCAGGAGGGATATAGCTGGGTATTGAGGTAAATCAACTCCTGAATTTCTGAGAAACCACCATATTGATTTCCAAAGTGGCTATAAAAGTTTACACTCCCACCAGCATGGAGGAGTATTCCCCTTGTTCCACAATCTCTCCAGCATGAGCTGTCACTTGTGGGTTTTTGTTTGTTTTGATTTTTTGAGACAGGGTTTCTCTGTAGCTTTGGAGCCTGTCCTGGAACTAACTCTTGTAGACCAGGCTGACCTCAAACTCACAGAGATTTGCCTACCTCTACCTCTTGACTGCCTGGATTAAAGGTGTGTGACTCCACCACCCAGCTATCACTTGTGTTTTTGATCTTAGTCATTCTGACAGGTGCAAAATGGAATCTCAGAGTTGTTCTGATTGGCATATCCATGACGCCTAAGGATGTTGGACATTTCTTCAAGTTCTTAGCCATTTGAGATTACTCTGTTGAGAATTCTCTGTTTAGATCTGTACCCCATTTTTTGTTTTGTTTTTTGTTTATTTTGTTTTTGATGTCTAGTTTCTTGAGTTCTTTATAAATTTTGAATATTAGCTCTCGGGTTTAGTGAAGATCTTGCCCCATTTATAGGCTGCCATTTTGTCCTTTTGACAGTGTCCTTTGCCTTACACAAGCATTTCAGTTTCATGAGGTCCCATTTATTAATAGCTGATCTCAATGCCTGTGCGATTGGTGTTCTGTTCAGGAAGTTGTCTTCCATGCCAATGTGTTCAAGGCTGTTCCCCATTTTCTCTTCTATCAGATTCAGTGTATCTGGTTTTATGTTGAGGCCTTTGATCCACTTGGATTTGAGTTTTGTGCAGGGTGAAAGATATGGGTCTGTTTACCGTCTTTTACGTGCCAACATCCAGTCATACCAACACCATTTGCTGAAAGTGCTTTCTTTTTTTCCTTTGTATAATTTTGGTCTCTTTGTCAAAAAGCAAGTGCCTATAAGTGTGTTGATTTACTTCCAGGTCTTTGATTCAAGTCCATCGATCAATGTCTCTGCTTTTATGCCAATACCATGTGGTTTATCTTACTATTGCTCTGTAGTTCAGCTTGAAATCAGGGATGGTGATACTTCCAAAAGTTTTTTTTTACTGTATAGGATGTTTTACCTTTCCTGTTTTGTTGTTGTTGTTGTTTTTGTTTTTCCATGTGAAGATAAGTATTGTTCTTTCAAACTCTGTAAAGAATTGTGATGGAATTTTGATAGAGATTGCATTGAATCTGTAGATTGCTTTTGTTAAGATGCCCATTTTTACTATTAATTAATCCTTTAAGTAATTAATTAATTACTACTATTAATCCTACTGATCCATGAGCATGGGAGATCTTTTTATTTTCTAATATCTTCTCAAATTTCTTTCTTCGAAGACTTGAAGCTCTTGTCATAAAGGTCTTTCACTTGCTTGATTAGAATTACACCAAGATATTTTATATTATTTCTGGCTATTGTGAAGGATGTTGTTTCCTTGATTTCTTTCTCAGACCGTTTGTCATTTGTATAGAGGATGGCTACTGATTTTTTTGTATCCAGGCACTCCGATGAAGGTGTTTATCAGCTGTAGGAGTTCCCTGGTAGAATTTTTGTGTTCCTTATCAATACTGTCATATCATCTGCAAATAACAATACTTTGACTTCTTCCTTTCTAATTTATATCCCCTTGATCTCCTTTAGCTGTCTTATTGCTCTAGCTGGAACTATAGGTGCTATATTGAATAGGTAGAGGGAGAGTGGGTAGCCTTGTCTTGTTTCTGATTTTAGTGGAATTGCTTAAAGTTTCTCTCCATTTGATTTGATGTTAGCTATCGAATTGCTATATATTGTTTTTTATTATATTTAGGTATGTTCTTTGTATCCCTGATCTCTCTTAGACTTTTATCATGAAGAGGTGCTGGGTTTTATCAAAGGCCTTTTCAGCATCTAGTGAGATGATCATGTGGTTTTTCTTTCATTTTATTTATATGGTGGATTACATTGACAGATTTTCATATGTTGAAATATCCCAGTATCTCTGTGATGAAGACTACTTAATTGTGGTGAAATGATCTTTTTAATGTGTTCTTAGAATTGGTTTGTGAATGTTTTGTTGAGTATTTAGCAGCTATATTCATAATACTTACAAATTGACATCAAGAACACATCAAAAAAATCATCCAAGACTAAGTCGCTTCATCCAAATGTAAATCAATATTGTCATGCCCCACCTAGGAGACTCAAAAGCAGAAACCATATGACCATCCCTCTAGATGCAGAAAAGGTCTTTTTTTTTTTTTAAAAAAAAATCCAGCGTTTCTTCATGATAAAATCTCAGGGAATCTAGGGATATAGGTACATATCTCAAGATTAAAAGTAAATTACTCCATATTGAAATGAGTATGATTATTCAGCAAGAAACTTTTGTTTGGATCTGGGAGAAGTTAGGAGTTGTGAGCAAATATGGTCAAAACACATTGTATGGCCGGGCAGTGGTGGTGCATGCCTTCCTTTAATCTCAGCTCTCAAGAGGCAGAGGCAAGCAGATGCAGATCTTTGTGAATTCGAGGCCAGCCTAGTCTACAAAGGGAGTTCCAGGACAGCCAGGGCTGTTACACAGAAAAACCCTGTCTTGAAAAACCAAAACACAAAACCAAAACAAAACATTATATGAAATTTTTGAAATTCTCAAAGAATTTATAAAAAAAATTATCTTAAAAGGAAACTTTAACTTTTGCAGGACATGAAGAAAGTTTTGTTTTTGTAGGGCATTTCTTTGCCTGGCATATCCTGCGAAATGTTTAAAAACCATCTGCTTAAAACAGAATGGACCGAAACAGTGGCGTCTGACCCTTCTGATTTGCACTGCGTGCCAGCTCCTGTGCTGTGGCTACCCCCAACATTGCTAGTCTATCCATCAGTACCACTCAGGCAGAGGTGGGAAGCCACGTGACAACCAGCCCTCAGAAGCGGGAATACAGTGGTTTCGGCTTACCTCGGCCAACAGTGCATATTTTTGTGCTTTCTGTGTTTGGTTCTGGGACTTAACCCAGGGCCTCACACATTGCTAAGGCACACACTCCGCTGCTGAGCCTCGCCCCCAGCCCCATGGTACTTAAGAACATTTATTTTCCTAAGCAGGATCCTCCTTGGCACATTTACGTTTGAGTCATTTTCTCTATGCATTTTCTGCTGTAGTTGAAATTTTTAACTTCATAGTTAAGAGAATTCCGTCCAGACATCAGCTTCCTTATGACCCTGCTAAGAGTGGACAGTTGGCAAAACTTCACAGAGGAATAATGTTGGCAGGGGAGGCGACTTGCTTGATAAAGCAGGAGGACCTGGCTTTGGATCCCCAGTGCCTGAAATTCTAGTGCTGGGAAGCAGAGATATGAGGAGCCCTGAGGCATGCTGGCAGCCGTTCTCTCTGAAGCTGTGAGCTTCAGGTTCAGTGAGAGATTGTGACTCAAGTGACAGTAATGGCAATGGTAATAGTATTAGTAATTGATAGTAATAATAGGAATTGTAACCGTAATAACAGTGTGGAAAGCAATTAAGAAACATACTTAACATCGCCCCCGATCTCAGCGTGCAGAAGCGCGCACGCATGCGCGCATGCTCACGCCTCAGGTCTGTTCCCCAAGGCACTCTTGCAGAACCGAAAGTGGGTAAGCTGAGGTTGCCAAGAGTTCCTCTGCGGCCTCTGGTGCTTTCTTCCCCACACTTGACCTGTTGTGCTCTCTGCATGTCTCCCTTGCTGCAGAGAAAACTGCCAGCTGACTCCAAGGTTCTGGAAGCCTCAGATCTGGTGTACACAGTCAGCGCTCACGAGTACTGGCAGCAGGCCTTCCTTACTGAGGACGAAAGTGGTAATTTCTAATTTTTTTTTTTAACCTCAACCACTAACATTCGAAAGAATAAGCTTACACTCTACACATCCTGCTCTAGAATTTTCCATGCCACAGGCAAGTTTTATTCCCACGTACCACAGCTTCTATGCCTACTAGCATGTACTATGTGCTGTGTGAATGTATGTGTTTGTCTGTGTTATGTGTGTATAATCAGTTTTTTTTCTTCCTTGTGTTGTTGTGTATCTGAGACCAAAATTCTTCTCTCTTCCAAATTATACCAGAGTTAGTAACAGTCAAGACAACAGTGGGCTGTGTAAGTAGTGTATGGCTTGTGGTTCTTCAGTTGCCCAGCTATAGGCATCAGACGTGGTTAATGAATGCACATTGCATGTTTGTCTGTGAGGCAGGGAAAATCAAAGGCACGGCTCCTTTCTTTGCATAATTTTGAGCCTAAATACGGAGCCAATGATCATCCATGTGCAAAGATGAAAGGGAAAGCCAAACTTAGGTGGCCCTGGCCATAAGCACAAAGGAAGGCTAGAGGATTCTGAGGTCCATGTGCACCCGTGGGCTCTTGGTAGCTAAGTGAGGGTTCACCAAGCTGGGTCTTAGTCTGAGCCTACTGGGATTATGTCTACACAGGTCTTAAGAGATGTGTGACACAGGTGAATACATGGTGTTTAGGGAGCAGAAGTGTGGCATGTTCCCCAAGCCAGGTAACTGCTTCATGAGCTACCTTTATGAATTCTGTTGTTACAAATGCCTTGGCTTTTCTTTACTATTATTTGTGCTGCTTGTGAATTCCAGAGGTTCCCAAGTTAAGAGAATATATTAGAAAAAGGCTCTTGGACAAGAAGAGGAGGCTGGTAACCAAGTACGTCAATGAAGCCTTTGGTTTGTTGCTCCTCACTGACACTTTCAACCCGGAGGAAAGCCTGCTGGTAAGGAAACCCCTGGGCTGTCTTGTACTCTGCTCAAACAGATGTAAGTTAGAAAGACCCCTCGATTGTTTTATACACCACCTTGGGCAGGTGTCATAGTTAGCTCAGTTGTGAACTTGACACACCCGGGAAGAGGAAGCCTCAGCTGTGGAACTGCCTTCGTCAGACTGACCCATTGGCATGTCTGGTGGGCATTTTCTTGGTGTGGGGAGGTCCAGCCTACTATTGGCATTGCCCCTCCGAGGCAGGTGGATCTGGGCTGTATAAGAAAGAGAACTGAGTAAGCTAGAAGGAGCAAGCCAGTGCTCAGTGTCCCTCTAAGTTCTCTGCTTCAGCTCCTGCCTTGGCTTCCCTACATTATCATGGGCTGTAACCCTTAACATAAAGGAACCCTTTCTTCACCTAGTTGGTCATGGCGTTTATCACAATCACAACAGAAGATGGCAAAGTGGAACAGTAGGGCATACCAGGACACAAAGGGAACCACGGGCAGAGGAGCCATCTTTTAGACTGTATCATTTCCAATGCCTTTAGAGTCTAGGAGGAGAAAATGATGACTGAAGGGTGAAACCGTAACATTGGGGTATAAGAGAAGGGGATGTTTTATCTGGACAGGTTTACTGAAGGTAACATGTCCTAATACTTGGATACATGGCGTTTTTCCTGAGACCTCAACAAGATGGGATGTATTTAAATGATGGCTGGGTGACTTGGCTTATAGACACCCTATCCTTTATTGCATTGGAGATGATACAGTCTAAAAGATGGCTCCTCTGCCCGTGGGTTCCCTTTGTGTCCTGGTACGCTGTGAGGTCCATGCTCCCATGCCAGGAAAGCAGGAGGGCTTCCAGAGGGTGAAGAGAGTGTGAGGCTACAGAGGTAGATAAGAACTCTTGATTCCCATCAGATGAAGGCTGCGAGGTGGGCCCCAGGCACACAAGGATCGCATAGAGATGGGCGGGTACCGGCACACAAGAGTCACGTAAGGGCAGGCGTAGGCACACAAGGGTCACGTAAGGGCAGGCGCAGGCACACAAGGGTCACGTAAGGGCAGGCGTAGGCACACAAGGGTCACGTAAGGGCAGG